TCTCTCTGCAGCTCTAAATATTTTTCTGAGATCGTGTTGCTGTGCGTGAGGGAAGGAACAGATTCAGAAGCATTCAGTCGTGGCCATGGATCATCCTCTAAAAGCTAAGAGAAAAGAAAAAATATTTATGAACAAGTGTAGTTATTCCTCCTCCACTATCCTCAAAAAGTTCTGAAGTTTGAGGGTGGAGACAGTGTGTGACAGAACGTTACTAAACCTTATCAGAGACAGAAACATTTACTCAAAAACAGGTTTATCCTTTCCCCACGTTGAGAGGCAGAGATGGAGAGGTGGAAACGGAGTCAGACCCTGGATCTGAACTTGGTACTTTATGTCCTCCAAATTTATAAAAGCATTCATTTCCATATTCAATTTACAAGAATTTCATAACACCAGACAATCATCTCATTTGGAGCGCTGCTCAGACTTATTCAGCCTGGGCATCTCCCTTTTTGCAGGTATGAACTGCGTTAGTCGTTTGAGGGATCAACCCACACCTTCCTTTTAATTTAGAAAGCCACACAGAAAGCAGTGTCTGCAATCTCTGATTTTCATCAGTGGCATTTTTCAACATCCAGACATTACTTCTTTCCTTCAGACATACTGTGATGTTGTTTGCCGTAGTGCTTCCTAAGGTTTTAAATGTCATTAGATAGCCAAGTACTATTAGGGCAAACAGCAGAAAAATAGTTTTCTGACCTTTGTTACATTTAGAGTTCTTAGTTACTGCGTAACTACATTATCAAGGACATGAACAGCTCTTCATGCTTGGTGTCCTAAGCATGTACAAAAAGGTGAAACACACAGGTTCATTGGGCAAAGCTATTCTAAAAATAGAATTCCTGTTTGCTATTTCCAATTCCTCACAGCCAAGTAACACATTTTATTGCCCAGTTTTATGCTTTACAACCTGGAAAGAAGGCAACTCTATTCATCATAGTACATCTGTCTGTTCTCTATAATGCACAGTTTTCCTGTATTTTGAAGAAAGGCTGCTTAGTATGATGCCCTGGGAACCAAGGACTTTCTAAATTCTAATCCTGCCTTCCAACATTCATCCCCTCTGTAGCCTTTGATAAGTGTTTCTGCCTCAATCTCAGTTTTACCAACAGGAAAATGGGGACAATGCTTCCTCCCACTATCCACATGGGGATTGTGAAAATTAATACTTATGCAGTGCCCTAAAGATATGAGTTATGACCTTATTAAAGATTTAATTGTGAAGAAATCCCTGGTTATTCAGTAAGACCTTCAGCAGTAAATTTCAAGGCCACACTACTCTATATATTGTCAATGTAAAGCCAATGACACAATGACTGTTTTACTCAAGAAATTTCTGTGCTGAAAACTCAGGCGCACGCAGCTGAAACAGAACAAGTCAATGTAGCATCGGAGATCTCAAGAACTAAATGCTTTTGAAATCACAGCCCAGAGCAACTTCAGTTCACCTTCAAGAAGAGAGGTCTGTGAATGCTCAGCTCTCATGAAAAATCCAGCACTAAGGTTTAATGAAACACACTCCGAAAGAGAAGACTATCAGAATAACTGCTTTCTAGCATCTAGATTTCATTTTTCACAGTCCCTTTACTCCCCTCTTTGCTCCCCATGTTTACGTAAAAACATTTAGATAATATATTTTACTACATCTAGCAACACAAGAGGGAAGACCTCTATAGGTGATATCTTAGAGGTTATTCCTCAGCTCTGTTCTGGCAGAACCAACAGGAAAGCTACATTATACCCTCGGAGCAGCTCTGGTAACGTTATTTAATCTGCTCAGTTGCATTTTTGAAATCACGTCTCTAGCAGATACTTAGGTTTTGCGTTTCATATCGTGCAAGATCGTTAATACTGCGGCCTTTATTGCCAACCTCTTTTGTTCAGTATGAATAACTGAGGTCAGTTAAGGCTTTGGGAACCCAAATGGAGAAGTGAGAGGACAGACTGCAGGACGCCGCCTGCTAAGGAGTAACAAAACAAAACATGAGTCATCAGCCTATTTTCTGAACAATCTAATCAAATGTTATCACTGGCCTCAGGAATACTTGAATTTATGTGGCTTTAATAATTTCATATCCTTCTGGTAACAGTTAACATATACTTTTGTTTAACTGAGAAACTTCAATTTGGTCTTCATTTATCTCTGAATTAATTGCTCTGGAAGGTAGCAGCTGTTAAGAATCAGGGCTATACATTCTGCTTTCTGTTCTCTGAAGATGACAGGTGAACACTCTTTTCATTGCCACCTTTTGTTTTTACTGACCTGTCCTCTCCGGGCTATAATCATACCATGATAATCTCCAGGAGTTTGCACTGATCTAGGGAACCATGTCTCATTTCTTTGCAGAAACCATGTGATGATTCATTTTGGTAAAACTCAACTGCAATTTGTTAAGAAGATTAATCACCTACCTAATTTAGATCATATATTTGCCCGTGGTTTTTATGTACCATGGCTTTGTTTACTAACCGTAGCAAGGACAGATGTTAACAAGAAGGCATCTCACATCCAACGGTCTTTCCATCCACACAAATACCAAATGTGTTATATGAAGAAATTCATATCTATAAGCTCTACAACACTCAATCTACAAAAATCTCTTAGTGAAGCAGATAAACTTAGTATAACACATAATGGACAGACTTGGAAAACATGTTATCAGAAGAATCAAATTTTGCAAGTGGATATTCTCATCTATTACAATAATTTCTTTTGTGTAATCAGTATCTTAGGGAGACTCTCAAATTACCGTTAAAAAAATCAGAAATGCATATTCTGAAGTAATTGTGTGGCTATGACAAAAATATAGTTTATTTTTCAGTTTATTTATTCAATGAAACAAGATTTTAAGTTTACTGACATGAAGTGTAATTTCCGTAAACACTCGGTCACTGCCAGCCTGGCCTAAGACATCAGACAAATCATTAAGAAAAAATAACTATAGCCTCGCCTACATGGAAAACAACAAAACTGTCTACAGTTTTGATCTCTCTACCGTGTGTTCACACATCACAGTGCACCAAACTTACTTATCCGGGCGGTGGGGGAGGGAGGGGGAAGTCTTAGGGGAAGGATATTTTCAGGAAGTCCTTATTTTGCAATGCTACATCCTTCTCAACCAACATAGCTCAAATTTACTCAATGGGTATTGATAACGCATCACATGCAAAACACAAGGTACGACCTTAAAGTTTAGGAGGATTTAGAATTAAAGTCACTTTTCTTTGCTCAGGATTTTGGTAGATTTTAAGCTCTTTTCATGAGTTCTGCTACACCGAATGGAAGGGAGGGAGAGAAAATGGAAAGCTCAACCTTTCTATTAGCTGCCTGTCTGTAGCAGGGACTGTTAAGGACACTATTCCTAATTCTTGTTTTCTTTTTACTTTATCTGAAGGACAGTTATCCGGACACTGGAGAACATCAAAGGACAGTTACTTAAATCAGGAGCAGCTGGTAAGCACTTTAACAAACATCCACACATATCTACGCTCCAGTTTTTGGAGCAAAAAAGGTTCCAAATAGCTCTGCTTTCTGTTAATAGGCAAAACTTCTAACCTGAAGAGAGATCTTGTAGTATAATGTCTTTTCCTCCAACAAAGGACGTTAAATTGACCAGAGGAAGGTAATAAAATCTCCCAATCTGAACGGAAAACATTTTCTTCAACAATGAGCGCTTGCACGCACTAACCCACGGGTTAGCTGGGGGAGGGGACTGAAAATCCCTCCTCAGGCAGTCTGCGTTTCATCAGCTAGGAGTTATACAAGCACATGGCAAGGTGAGAAAAAACTTCAGCCCCACTTACCTTCCCCCCCTCTGCCCCGATCCCCAGAGTCTGATTTCTCTCTTTCGATAGCCTATTCCTGATTTTGCAGGATCTCAGAAATTTTATTTTCAGGAAACAGTGTATTTGAAGAGGTGGGAATGATATGCATCGAGTTACAGTAGTTTTTTCTTTATGTGGAGGTGGGAATACAGATCAACAGCTACTACTCAGTGAGCAGGTTTATAAGAGTTATGAAAACATTGTATCTTCAAATTCAGCAACTCTGAGGACCGCGTTCTTTATGCTCTGCCTTGGTGTTCCAAAGCCTTTTAAGAAATGTCGTTAAAAGCTCATGTATTTCTCCAAAGCTTTGTACACAGAGTTAAAGAGAAGTACTGAGAATACAGCCAGGTAGTTGCAGCCAAGTTACTGTCCTACAACTGAAACATTATCTAGCCATAGGCAACGCCTAGTCCACTACAATATAAAATCAGTAAAATTAAATGGTGGTATAAGTTCACAGGCCAGTAGTTTCAATCGCTTGCAATGGTCCAGCTACACCATTGCCACCATCCTACACCAGACTGAGCCATATAAAAAGAAATTCCTTCTAGGAGAAGGAACAGGACATTGATACATATTCCGTGGACTGCAGACTCAAAACGGAACGGTTAAAAAAAGTCGGAGGGGGAAATAATTACCTTGACAGGTGGGGTACAGCAGTGGGAGGGCGTCATCATATTCGTGTCAGGACTGCTATAGCAGGGACTCTCTGCCAAATTGAGATACAATTCCTCTTCGTTTTCCAAGTTGCTTTTACTATCCTGCAGCGGTGAGATGCAGATTACGATGGCACTAGTGTTATCTGCGCGAAGCATGCGCTGCCTCCACCGGCCCAGCGCTCTGTTCACCAGCATTTTGGCACAAGACTGTCGGTGCTCCCCCTGCGTTAGAAGAGAGAAAGACAGACAGAAAGTGATCAGGTCCACCTCACTTCAGCAGTGTAAAACTGAGAGTTTATAAGGCACAGCCTGAGATCATCTACTCCTACATCATGCGCTAAAGTAACTTGATTCAGAAACACAGGAGGAAATATTCACTGAAATGAATCTTACTTCTGGGTGAAATGTAGCTTTAAAATCAGTTTAGGGTAGAATCCACACATATATTACTGCTTTAAGCTCTACAAGTGATGCAAATTATTTGTTTAAATTGGCTAGTCATAACATGTCCTACATTCTTTCCAAAACTCTCTGCAAGGATTTATAGACTTTTTTCTAATTGATGCTCTGATGCTCCTCCACACAAATTCTCAACTGTTTTGTATAATAAAATAGAAAAGATTTTTTTCATGTCACATAAAAATCAATAAACAGTTGTCTGCATTATAACATGCAGCCTAATTTGAAATAAATTTCATTTTCAGACAATATTTTGTGCAACTTCCTTAGAGAAGGAATATGTTGTCTTCTTAATTACTCACAGATGCCATCCTGGTAGTCAGATTTCCCAAAAATGACAACTAAATAACTTAGTTTAGAAGGAAAATACTATATTAATATCTGCATTTCACAAAGAATGTTCATATGCATTATGCTTGACAATACATGCAATCACAATATCATCGGCCACACAGTAACAGCTTACGTGTCGTGGCAGAACTATTGAATAAAACTAAACAACGATGCCGTTACTAGGTACTTTTCATACATGCCAGATTAAGCCATTTTTAGAGGAAAAGCGTATTAAATTGCCGCAGCGACCAATATGCACTGCTCTCACCATGAAGTATTTTTTCTCCTCGTGATCCTGGCACATAGAGATAGCATCTTGAGGAGGGATCATGTTCCACAGTCCATCACTGCCAAGGATAATGTACTTGTGCTTCTGGGGGTCAATTGTGTGCACACTAGTGTCAGGTTCAGGAGACACAACAAATTCACCACTGTAAAAGTCATAGCTCCACAAGTCACCTGGTGAGGAAGAAAGTGTTTAAGAATTGTTACACCACATCTGATTACGATTCTCGAAAACAGCAAAACACTGTTCCCATGAGAGCAACTACCACCAGACTCAAGCCACCAACAGTAATGCAGTGTAATTTCATTACAATCACTGTTTTGCTATTGTCTCTTCGTGATCGCATTTATTGATAGGTAATCATTTAAACAAGAAATGCATTCAAGCATAAACCCACATGTTTATAAGAAGTCTTCTGCTCTTTTAACACAAATGTTTTCAGAAAGCAGAGGAAACTGAACAGATTAATACCTTAAAAACAGTGAAACCAGCAATATCCAACCTATTTAAACAATTAAAATTATGCTGAAACAGAACTAAAGCCTTATTTTTAAGTCTTTGTTGAACCCAAACCAAATTGGGGTTCACCAGCGTTGTCACCAGCAGACAAAAATACGCCTTTCCAGTTACGGGTGCAGCATAATTAACGGACAAAACCCTCACCGCCCCTACAAGGGATCTGTTCATTATGGGATAGTTTACAGCACTAGGTTCAGAGTGTGAGTGTGTGAGAGTGAGAGAGTGAGTCAGTGTGTGTGTGTGTGTGTGACCATGTAATGTCCCTTCTCTCCCCAATGTCACATACAGCATTAGACCTGGTTCTGCAGGATGATGCGCTGCTCTGCACACCCTATAAAGACCTGTTCAGAGGAAAAAATGAAATGAAATACGCTCTTCACACTCAGGGTATTAAACTGTTGTTGCTTTTTTTTTTTTTTTTTTAATTTGTGAATCTGAGCTTCTCCTCAGCCATCCCACCAACACAGAAACACACAGATCTTGTTGCATGCGTGTGTATCTGTGCATATAGGTGCCGTGGAGAAGAATGAAGGAAAAGGGCAAAGGAAGGAGCCTGAAGCCTTTTCTTCTGCCCTCATTCGCCTCGTAACCTCTTTTCCCCGTTCCTCCTCCTTCCCCAGCGTTCGCTTGACGTTCAGAACCGTGCTGCGCTGTGCTCCAGCATCTCGCCAGCTGAACGCCCTGTGCCCCATTTTGGAGTTGGAAAGAAGCCACAAGAGCACAAGCAGCGCCTGGGCTCCAGCAGGAAAGCAGCAAATGAGAGCTAAAGCCGCTGCCTGGAAGGCCTGATGCCGTGAACCTCTCTGTTTTTAAGTCTGTTTTGCTGTGTCAGTGAGTCTGGGGTCACCTCCCCGATGACAGTGGCCTGAACAGAGTCTGAGCAAGTCAAGTCACGTTTGAATCGGAACAACTATTGGTTCAACTGCTTGCTCCAAATTATCCTCAGATTAAAGCATCCAAGCAGAAAAAAATATGTTTTTCCATATTCGTTTATTTTAATTTCATTTTCCAGGTATACAGCAAAAACCCTTTTTCTAAGGTTTGGCCTTGAAATCAAGGAGAGTATTATGCTGTGCTAACACCTTCTCTTCCTTTTACGAAACTATTTCTACATTCCAGATTTTTGGACATTATCTGTTTTTGGTAACATACTGTATTGTACAAAACATAAAAGACGACTCCTCACTTGATGTTTATAAATAACTTCCTATAGCAATAAATAACAAAAATTAACAGTATTATTTGCAAGCATTGGCTGTTTTTCTGGGTAGAACACATGGCTTTAAAAGTAGAAATTAATTTAAATGTCAGAGTTGAAAAGCATACAGAAGCTAAATAACTCCTTCAGTTTAAGGGTAAGGTTTTGTGAGGTTTGTTTGTTTGCTTGCTTGCTTTTTGCTGGCTTCAGAAAGTCTGTTTGTAGCCTTCTTCCCCACCCATCATCACCCTTTTAAAGATAATAAATAGGCTTTTTGTCTTCCTACTTTCTTCCATTAGCTTTGCCTTAAGCTATCAGCCAGTTGAAAAGACTTTTCCAGGATCAAGAAAGGGAATACTTCAAATCAATTACCCCACTTCACCACAGCAGGCATGGATGGGCCACTCATTAAAGCACCAATTCACCTTCATTGCAGCAGCAGCGGACAAAAACACATGCTTCTACTAAAGGCTAATTAAAAGCCAAGCCTGCTTGTATAGAGGTGCACTCTCCATCCAGAGGCTCACAACAAAGCAAGCCAGCTGGCAACAAGATCAAAATAAATACTGTAATAGAAGAGCTAAGCTTCAGCACAGCAATTATTGTATACTAATTGCCACCAAAAGTCTTCATACACTGACTTCTTCCTTCCTAGCACGTCTGTCAAGGACACAATAGGTACAATAAACGAGAGCTTGGGAACTGAGTACAACCAGATCTGGGAATCACTGCCAGCATCAATTTCAAACATGCAAGTAATATTTTTAGGATTTTATTTGCTACTTTGTTCATACTCATTTCGGAGAAATCACAAATGTTTTTAGATGAATCATTCCTTTATTAAAAAAACATTGTTCGTTGTAAGATAAAAATAACCTGATTTAATTTTGGCCCATCTACATACATGTCATCGTGCCCATCTGCTGCTTTTCCTGAGAAAACAGCTGAGTAATGAAGACATTGACTTCAGACAGTCTTCCTCCAAGAGTCAATAGAGAGAGAGACAAGAGGCTCCTCATGGGGATAACTTGGACTATCACATCCCTCCACTCCGAGGATAAGAAACCTGCTTAAGGCCACAGAGACTCTGGGAAGACACGCAGGGAATTCACATCTCACAAATCACAGTCCATATCCCCAGCTACAAGCCTAACCTTCCTAGTTTCCACTGAAGGCCTTCCAATGGCAACAATTTCTCCTCCAAAAAGCGTTGCCCTTCTGAAGGCCATGGCATAACTCTACACTGAGTTGAGGACTTCAAACAGGAGTTAATAGTGGACAGTTTATGATCTGCATTAGAGATGCTGCCGGACTACATGACTAGAACAGTCCCTACCTCTGGCCAAAAACACGTACAAATCCGTAACTAAGCCATATGTGTCTAGCACTGGCATCATTCTCAGCTGGAGGGGAGAAGGGGGAAAAAAGAAAAAGAAAAACAAAAAAACACCTCAGTCTCGTAGGCATTGCAAGTGGAAAGCAATTTTCCTGAAAGCAAATGGAGAACACTAGCTAGATCAGTTCAAGTATTCACAGCTTCTAAGCTTAAGCTTACTAAACATTTGTTTGTTTGTTTGGCAAAATGCATTCATTCAAATTATTTCCTGTGGCACCACCTTTGTCAAACAGCTTTCCAAGTTTGCTGTAAATGTACAGTGAGAACAACCGAATTTCCATGATTTTTAAATTTGGTTGTACCCACCATCTACTGAAGTTCAAAAATCTCTAGGGAATATATATATGAACTTGTGTACAAAACTGGAGAACGGAACAGCGCTAAATCACAAGCGGGTATTAACTGACCAACTCCAGACAAGTCCTGACAAACTGAGCGCTAAATGGAGCTCTGCAAACTGAAGAAAATAACATTTTTGTCCTTTGCCCCAGGAAAAATTCCACAAAGTATAGTCCGGTCTGAGGGCACAGAGAGAAATCCTGTGTGAAATCCTCCTCAGCCTAGAAGGGAAGAACCAGTACGCGCAAGACAGACAGAAAGGAGCTAGCAGTTTTAGTATAAAGTGGGTATTTGGCAAAAGGTGGAGGAGAAAGAAGAACAGCAGGACAAAACGCTATGTAATGTTTCCTTTTCTCCCTACAAACTAATTCTCGATACTGCTTTGTTCATAATATCATGACATGGCACGCAAACAGATTATTTTAAATCTTGGTGTGTAAAAAAGCTACGTAGTACAGCAGACAAATTTAGTGACAATATCAATTATAACAAAAGGCCAGAAGCACAGTAAGTATTATTAAATTGGCCTAAAAAGGGGGGAAAAATTGCCTTCAGTGTTGACCTGTCACCAATCCACTTTCCATAAACCTACCATTTGATCCACAAGCTCATGAACTAATCAAGCAGGAAAACGATCCTTGGTAGAGCAATACTGCCCTGAAGAGTACTTCTCTTAAAGACTAACTCTCGCAGCTCCTTCAGCTCCAAGCTAGCAAAGGCCAATCCATGTCCCAGGGGTGAGGCACCAAGGGTTTTTGTTTTCTTTTCTTTTTCGAAAGAGCAGAGCACCAGAGACTGAGTCGATGCTTTTTAGAGCTGGTACATGGACAAAATACTAATATCAGCTATATATCTGTCTCTGGCCAGGAGAGCACAGCATCCACAGCGGCTAGGAAGTACGTGACAAACCTAGAAGAAAGACTTTACATGGTAACTTCTCTGTGCCAATCCTGGGAAGAAAAAGGAAAAGAAAGGTAAACCGGAGAGCATCCCTAGGCGTTTCAAAACGCTCTAAAATCTGCAAGTCTGTCCCAAAGCAAGCAGGCAGATAAGTGACCCTTTAGCAGGCCGGAAATCCAAGACAGCAAAACTGTGTGTTGTGCTGTAGGCTGGCGTGCCAGACCTGGAATTCTAGGTCCTCGGACTTCAGGAGCCATACTATTTTTGTTCTAAATATGAAAACAAACATTGCCAAACTTTAACAATCTTGTTCCGTAAAAGCTTACAGACCAGAAATACTTCTTTGGGTGTAAGCTTGCACGTATATTCTCCAAATCAAAAAATAGGATTAATATAGTTCCTTTCACATCTCCCAGGAAAATCATATCTATTTCTAGGTCATGACTACAGCCAGAATAAATTACAAAGATCTACACAACAATTGCATCACATCTTGCAAAATGAAAAATAGATGTTTGAAAATATGCAGTAAAGAGCAGGGAACTAATCGATCTCCTTTTAAAAATATGAAAATATGTACTCTACCTTATCCACTTACTACTACATTTCAAAATAGAATGGGGTGGGGGGACAAAAACCAAAACAAAACAGAAAAACTACCTGTAACTCAGCTGCTGCCAGGAAAGTAACTGAAGTGACAAACAAAAACACCCATCATGTAAGTAGACTGCATTGGAGTAAGTCTAAAGTCTTCTTATAGCAAAAGTGTGTCCAGAACTTATATAAATCAAGTCTTTCACTTAGGTTTCTAGAATATGCTG